AACGCCGTTCTCGAGAACGTCATGCAAACACTGGAATGGGATAATATTGGAGTGAAAATCGACGGTCGGCAGTTACCCCATCTTCGCTTTGCTGATGACATCGTCCTTATAACACCAAACATTAGCCAAGTGGAACGTATGATGGCCGACTTTGATAAAGCTTATGGGAAGATTGGTCTTCGACTAAATTCCACAAAAACGGTGTTCATGAGGAATGGATTGGTTTCGTATGGCCTATTCACGCTCAACGGAACGAATATACCTGAATGCTCCAGTTATGTCTTTCTAGTTCGGAAATCAATATGATGAACGACTTAGCTCCAGAGCTGAGAAGAAGGAAACGAGCAGCTTATGGAGCTTTCAAGAGCATAGAGGATGTAGTGAAGAGGACAAAGAATGTGCCCATCTTTTCGACTCAACGGTACTTCCTGCTCTTAACCCTTTTATTTACTGCTTTTTTCTTCTTAACGGCAGGGTATGTTGCGAAATACAACTCGTATGAAATGCTGAGATATTTGCAAAACTCCGGACCGAAGGTGTATGGGTTCAATAAAAGGGTTAAGATTGTGATTATAACTAAGCCTCAGCTTAACTGGGTTCAATGCCGATTTGGGCTCCCCAGATCAATGCCGTTGACGGGTGATTGCTGATGGCAAAAAGATCGATAGAACTAGCTGAGAGAGAGGCAAGACGAAGGACCCGGATGGTGTGGTGGTCAAGTGCGCTGCTCCCCGGTAAGGACAACAGTACGTGTTCGTTTCCCACTGCATACGCCTGGGGTCCGGAGTTTTGCAAATATCTCAGCATTTCATACGAGATACTTCCTGCGTTAACATATGCGTCAGAAACCTGGTCGCTGCGTAAACAGGTTGAAAAATCACTCAACATTTTTGAACGTGCAGTCGAAAGGACTGTAGTAGGGGTATCCCATATCCCGTGTCACGCAAGTAAGGAAGGGAACCGAAGCTCCGACCTACGTCAACGATCAAAAATCAGAGATACTGTTCTATACACCAAAGAGTCGAGGATAAGGTGTGGCGGGCAAGTAAGTCGTATGAATAGCAACCGATGGACCCGAGCCTTTAGTGACTGAATTCCTCGGGATGTTAAACGTACTGCAAGGAGACCACAGAACTGATGATCAGAGTTCTTCACGGAACTCCTAGAGAAAAGATATAATGCTCAAAGAGTCCCAAGAGCGAGTTGAACCCACTGGGCTGCTCTTGCACGCGAAAAATGGAAGATTTACTGGCTTCTGCTCGAGTCACTGACGATCAACCGGTCTACAGGTGATACAGTTGATACTAATTTAGATGCTCCTAGAAATTTTTTCCACAACTGGCATTTATTGCTTCCCGTGTTAAGTGTGTTGTAGTAAAATCATGCTTCAGTTTCATTCTGTTTTTGATCAACTTTTTAGTGCTAGTGGAGATGCGTTCAGAATTTTTTTTTGATGAACCTAAGCGAATTTGACACAACTTTTAAGTCCTTCTTTTATTTCTAAGCTAACACGAGGTCGTTACCAATATTTGTTCGGTTAACTTCTCAGCGTCTTCTTCTTTCTCAGACTCGATAATCCGAGTCGATGTCCACAGTCGTACACGTTTTTGATGCGGTGTCTTAGTCGAGCATCGAACCGGATCTTCTTTACTGGAACATCTCTCGAATGAGGCGTATCCAATCGCAGATTTCGTTATATACAGGGTTGTTCTTAGTGATTGTTATGGTTGTCGGGTAATAATAACTTACTTTTCTGGACAATCAATCCTGTAGAAGTCGGTATCATTGTATTGCCAGCAATGTGCGGAAAAATTAATGTCTTTTCGTATTCATTGTTTTTGGTCGGGTTTTCTATAATCTGCCGGTGACGTTTGGACAGGATTTGGTTAACAATAATTCCGTTATGTAATAGCGCTCTTGTTCTTTCTATACGATGGCAGCTCTTTTCCAACTTATGGGTGCGCCGACGGAGATATCGGCGATTAGATACAACTCAGAATGATGGGACTAGCAATATGTCAAAAAGGCCCTATCTCCTATCAGTGAGGAACTGATCGCTGCGGTGTCATAAAAGTGCCCTACAATACACGCGCAATCGTTTGTTCGATCCTGCACCTCAGCACATTCAACAAAAATCCAGGGCTGGTCGACATACTGGTTAAATACATATCTCGAATAAGAGCAGCACTGACTTGATACATCGACGAAGTCGTGGTCAACGTAAGGTTAAACAAAACTCCAGGCGCAAATGGGATCTACAGTCATAACGGAGAAGATTTTGAAGTAGAAATCACAATCCTAGCATAGCAATATAAACTGCAGCGCGTAAAGGTCTTGGAGGGTTTTGAATAAGTTCTAAAATTCCATGGATTTCACGCCATGTCTCAGATCGATTTTTTGACCTGACCCATGCACATTTCTCGCTCGTGTTAAACTGTGTGTGGCTGGTCTCCAAAAACAACCGGTAGACTTAAGAACAGCAAAATGATGAGTGTTTAAAAAGAAGTTTACCATTGGGCAATTAATCATTCATGTATTATTGTGGGTGTTGTTGTTGTTGTTGTTGTTGTTGCTGTTGTTTGTTGTTGTTGTTTATTGTTGCTGTCCTTTGTTGTTGTTGTTTATTGTTGCTGTTATTTGTTTTTGTTGCTTGTTGTTGTTGTTGTTCCCAAACTGATCTTCCACTGAATTACTGATCACGAGAAGATGGAAGATTTGGTTGTTTTAGGGATGATTTTAACCGCTGACCGTACGTACGTCCGAGAGCATCGAGCATCTCAAACAACCGCACTGAGTGATGCCTTTTTTGCATTTGCATAATTATATAGAATTCATGACGAAATATGGAATTAGTTCGAATCAGTAGTTTGAATACAATTGTAACATTTGTCCTATTCATAACAGCACGTGTCTGAGAGAAGACGAAATCGCCGAAACGTCAGCCATCCACCAACAATGCCAACAGCAACGACAATAACAACAAGAACGACAACGAAGACCTATATTAACCTCGCATTGGCTCAACAAGACCAGTTTATAAGGTCATATGAACAAATATGACATCAATGTTCATTTAATCAGGCATCAAAGGTGATGTACTAATTCTAAAGAGTCTTTCCAAAACCTCAACCTTGATCAATAACTCGCTTTTTTTCTTGACGAGTACACACGAGGTTGTTATTACAGTGTTTATTCACAAAAGCTGGCTTTTCAGCGGATTTAGCCTTCGTCAGATCCTGGAGAAGTTGACTGTAATTTTGGCCACCAAACCCCTCTTTATCCGCAACAGAAAAATTCGAAAACCTAGATTTCAATCCCTTTTGGAACAAAATAGCTTCCAGGACACTCACTTCTTTCAATGAGTCTCCACTGATCGCTCCATGCGAGGAGCAACGTGGATGGAGGAGCAACGCCCTTCTTTCAAATTAAAGCATCAGTCTGAGATATTGTGTGAAGTCACGCGTCATAACAACGCACTCCTCGCTGTCTTTCGTTCCTAGATTTTTGGAATTTATACAGAATGCTTCGAAGTATTTACGCGCTAAGGTTTCCGATTTCTGTGCAAGAACAGGTACTTCTACGAGGAAATCTTCCCTGCCAGGACTCTGTGTTCACCACGTGTCTAGTGCGGTATTTGATTTAATTTCAAGTTTGTCGACTGGGTGTTTTTTTAACCCCCAATGGTGGCCGTGTTGGCCGTACCCGAACTCATACAATCAGTGTTTCTACCGTTAAGGCAAATTATGCAATTTTGCGTCTTACATAGAAGGTCGTCCGAAAGTTTACAGCCTCATCGTGGCTGAAAGGTGTTTCTGGGTCTCGGGTTGCGATTTACAGCGAGAGATTCATTCCCCGGCATGGTCCACCATGCTGAGAAGGAGTTCAGCGCTTCCATCAGGAAGCCCAGCTAAGAGTAAAGTAATAACAGGATCCACCACCGTCCTGGTACCAAACTAGGCGCATAGTGGCCAGTCTCCCATTGATCCACAGGGCCGGCGACTGCCTGTGGTGGTTACGATCTCGAGCAGACTTTAGCCTGGCTGACCTCGGGACTCAAAGGAACCAAAATGGCCAATTCAGCAAAACTCCGAAAAATGGAGACTATGCTGAGGTCTGCACAACCAGTGAAGACGGACCATCTTCATCTGAGTATCTGAGAACATAGAAGGTCATACAGGCAGTTGAGAACTATCTGGTTTGTGAGATTACTCGGTGGTATTTCAATCAATCACTGCTATTAAGTTCTCTGTATCGGCTCTTTTCAAGCAACTTTTTATCGCAGTGTTTATCTCATTATGAAGTGTGGCGAAACGTCAATTTTTATGAATAAGCAATATATTAACAAAACCATGGCCGCTTCTCAGGAAAATAACTTATTATTGATGCATTAATACCCCTTGGGACAGTCAGCTGGGAAACACAAAGTTGTCGTAAGAAAAGCAAGGTTGTCACTCGTGAAAAGCAAGCCATACGTTGAAAAAAACTACATCAAATATAACACAAAAGCCCTTCAATCTAGGAACAAGAGTAGAAAGGTAGCCCTGGAAATCAAAGAATCCGAGTTAATCGCATGAAATCAGCAAATTGAAGCTGCTGCTTATGAACACATCGCCTAAGTGGCAGTGTACAGATAATCAGCGTATAGATTCAAAAAGCGGAGCTCGCTTATCACAACGCTGATAAGCTTGGAAAGACAACCGCTTAAATAGTTCTTCATAAAAACATAGCACAGATAAAAATGGTTAAATGCAATTCAGTGATGTGTAGCATTTTTCAGCAACGAATATGGAGGTCAGTGGTATTTACTTCTCATTCTGAAGAAGCCGTATAGAAATGAACTAATACTGAACGGTTACTTGCCTTTTCACTCAACTATTGGATCCACTTAAATCTTATGAAGTATTGTCAATTGTTAGAAAACACAGGTTTATACTGGTCTATTAGCCTGAAAATGCTTTCACACATGTTCTAACTATTAATTGTTTTTTAACAGCTGTTTAATGCTTGCTTACTGTCGTCTTTCTCATCAGATTTGGCTCGTGCAGGAAATGGGGGTGTCTCTTGTATCGTTGATCTCATTTTTTTTTACAATTTACACAGTGAACAAGGCGCTACAATTTCGTAAATCAGTGGTGGAAGCCGAAGATAAAGTGATGGATCTTATTGATGAGGTTTGTTCAATACTTTCACGATATTATTTCGGGGCATTCATGACATTTCCTATTTCTGAACAAAATCATAGTGGTCTCACCAGACGACGCAAGCTTGAAATACGGTATTAAAAGCCTAGTGTCAGTAGTTCGGAATTTTGCTGACAATGGGCACTTTTAAGGCTCTACAAATCATGATCCCTGCAGGAATATGCAAGCATATTTGCAATCCTAGCTTGCATCTATCAGTAGATCGAACAGACTCTAAAGGTGAGTTAACATGGCATTCCAGTGGGTTTTTTGATGGCATGGAACAGAAAGTTACTGTTTTCACACTGCTGAACTAAATTTTGCGGCTTTCTGGAATGTTCGATTTTTGCATCAAGTGGGAAAAAATTTTAAAAAGCTTTATCTGTATCAATCGTTACTCAACTTTTACAATGTCCAAATGGTTGTGCATTTGTTGTGCATATGCCCTTAGCTAAAAATATTTTATATTTACTTTTCCAGTGTATGTTTTTTAACCCCTTCGTAACAAAAGGCAGAGTGTGGCGCAGTGGTTGGAGGCGCCACTGACCACTGAGACACACACATGGAATCGATCCCCGCAAATTGGTACCAGGCTTGCCTGGGAGGAGAGCAGCACTGGCTCGATGCATCGGTAGGCCACCGCGAGTAAAGTCGAGTAAAGGGCAAATATGCATTCATTCGCCTCCAACGATACTTAATGAAGTGGAATGCACGGCGCATCTCTCAGGGATTGATCAACGACGAGAGCTTTCTTTTTCGTAAGTTTTTTACACAACCACATTTATTTGGCAAATTAAAACTTTTACAAGAAGTACTTTAACAATAGTCTACAAAGAATTGTCATATCTTGTGTCAAAATTTACATAAATACATGCAAAAAACGCTTTTTACATAGGACTTGTAGTACCGCTAAGTTGAAAAGAACGGTGTCCCAAAACCACCATAAACGAGGACTTATCCAAATCATTAGTTGAATTTTGGGAAGATGCCGTTATTGAATTTTGACAATACTGACGAGGAATCCAATCGGTTTATTCGACATAATTATGCTAGCGCTTTGGAAGGTGAAACTTTGAAAGTCACCAGAAGACGACTGTCTCCAGGTAAACGAGTATGCTTTTGTGTTGTGCAGCGAACTATAGGCAGCCGCCAATTTACGTCCAAACTTGCAACGCAACGCAAAAAGATGGTAAGAGAAGATCTTAAGGAGAGAAAAACGCAGTTATATTCAAAGTTGCAAAGACTGGGAGAAGGACAGACAAAGCCCACAGAAGCTTCGCTAGTTACAAAACCAAGATTACTGTAATTTGACGCTCAGACGGAGCAGTCGAAGCTTCCAAAAAGGCAATGGAGAGAATCATTCACGACTACTACTCGGATCTCTTCAGTAGGCACGTCCTCCTACTCTCATTCTTATTAAAGGAAACTATATATGTCCTTTCACCAATTTCTCTTTTCCTAATCCGACATGTCATTATTTCGGTAAGGAATAGAACAACACCAAGTCCGAATCGGTTAAGATCTAAACACCTAAGGAACCATCTACCGCTCCTTATAAACACCCAGACTCGGCTCTTTTCACGTTATCTGTCAAAATGTAAGGTTCCTAATCAGTGGAAGAGCAGCAGGCTCACGATATTGTTCAAGAAGGGTGACCTCCGTGATATTGACAACTATTGGCCAATCCGCTTGTTGTCTGTCTTCTAAAAACTATTCGCTCGACTCATACCAAATAAGTTGGCAGAATACTGGACGAAAGATACCCATGTGAGCAAGCAGAGTTTTTAAAAGAATCCACTGTGATGAACGACATTCACCCAATAATATTACTCACTGAAGTGTCGCCAGAGTACAAGAAACCGTCCCGTCTCATTTTCATCTCTTTGAAGAAGCCTTTTATCTCAGCGTAGATGGAAGCAGTCATGAAAACTCTGAGCAGCTAGGGCGTTCTTACTAAGTGTACAAAGATATTTCGTGAGTTATATAAAAATTTTCAACTTGTATATTACCACTCTATGGCGACATTAACATTGACGTCAAAAATGGTGTTAGGTGCAATATCATCGCACTTAAATTACTTTATCGTCACCCCGGGAACGTCAAGCCAACACTGGAATGGGACAACATGGGAGTGAAAATCGATGGTCGGTAATTACACCATCTTCGCTTTGCTGATGACATCGTTCTTGTAACACCAAACATTAGCGAAGCACCAAGGAAAGTCAGCTATCGCCCAATCTACTTGCTGTCTGTCGTCTACAAACGTTTCACTCGAGTCACCCTAAACAGGATTGACAGAACACTGGGCGAAGAGCAGCCACGTGAGCAAGGCAGGGTATCGAAAAGGTCTTAGTACGATGGACCACATCCACACGATAACAAGGCTCATTGAAGTATCGCGAGAGTGCAAAAGACTGCTCTGTTTCACCTTCAGCGATTTAAAGAAGGCCTTTGACCCAGCTGAGATAGAAGCAGTCATGGAAGCCCTTGATAGTCAAGGAGTCCCTACTCAGTACATAAAGATTCTTCGTGAGCTGTACAAAAATTTTACAACCAAGATATCACCATTCTAAAACGATATTAACATTGACGTCAAAAGAGGAATTAGGCAGGGCGATACCATATCGCCAAAAATATTTATCGCCACCCTCGAAAACGTCATGCGAACACTGGAATGAGATAATATGGTAGTGAAAATCGATGGTCAGCAATTACATCATTCTTCTCCTTGCTGATGATATCGTTGTTATAATACCAAAGAATAGCCAAGAGAAAAGAATGCTGGCCGACTTTGATAAAGCTTATGGGAAGATTGGTCTTCGGCTAAATCTCACAAAACGATGTTCATGAGGAACGGATAGGTTTCGTATGGCCCATTCATGCTCAACGGAACGAATATCTCAAAATGCTCCAGTTATGTCTATCTAATTCGTGAAATAAAACACAATGAACGACTTGGCTTCAGAGTTGAACAGGAGGAAGAGAGCGGTTTGGAGGATTTTCAACAGTGTTGAGGATATAGTGAGGAGAACAAAGAACACCCGACTCCACGCTCACCTTCTCAATTCCACAATTCTTCCCGTCTTAACGTATGCGCCAAAAACCAAGTCGTTGCGCAAGAAGGATGAATGATCTTTCAGCGTTATTGAATTCCGCGTCGAAAGGACGATGCTAGGAATAATCTGGGTCACGCAAGTGAGGATCAGAACCTCCGACCTGCGATAACGATCAAAAATCAAGAAATGCTGTTCTCTTCTCCAAAGAAACGAAGATAAGTTGGACCGAACACGTAATACGTACGATTGAAAACTGAAGGTCAAAAGCTGTTAGTGACTGGATTCCACGGGATGTCGAACGTACTGCAGTATGGCCACTAATCCGATGTTCGGAGATCTCCACGAATTACATAGAAGAATTTCATGTGAGCTTTTGGATCGAGAAGAACCCAATGAGCTACTCTTGTCAGCAACAGGGGAAAGTGGAAGATTTGCTGGCACACTCTCAATACTGCAATTGGTACAGGTTATACGTTCAACACAGAATGAGTAATCATTGCCAATGATCTTTTACATTGAATTTAATCCTTTCCTGCAATTTTGTATAACGTAGACTTTCTGACGCAACTTTTCCATTTCCTTGATATTGGTTCGGTTTTTTTTCAAAATAAGGATAACGAGTGGTAAAGCAGCATTCTTGTAGGCAGTTCGGGTGCACATTCCATTTGAAATCGCAGAGCCTATTGCCGCCACGAAGTTGCCGTAGAATCTTTAGGCGTTCACCAAATATGGTTGCGTAACGAGGTGGAGGAACGGTGCAATACACTTAATCTACGAATAAAATTAGTTGGATTCTTAGATGGCCCAACTTCACTGATTGCGCTGGCCATAGCAAAATATCCATTTTTCGAAGTTTTGCTGGTTTAGCTGTTGTGGTTCTCTGGACTCCGGGGGTCAGTCTAGCCAAAGTCTGTCTCAGACCGTCACCACCAGAAGCAGTCGCCACCCTTGTGGATAGGAGGAAGATTTGCCACCATGAGATTAGTTTGGTGCCAGGATAGTAGTGGAACACAATATTAGTTTACTTTTAGCTGAGCTTCCTTATGAAAACGCCGGACTGCTCAGCTTGGGTGGCCCTGCCGGGAAGATGAATCCCCCGCTGTGCATCGTGGACCAACAATCAGGAACAACTTCCAACCACGATAAGGTGGTAAACTTTTGCAAGATAAATAAAATTAGACATCGCAAAACAACCGAGAAAAAAAGTGCGTTCTACTGACTTGTTCCGTAAGAAAAGTAGAATGGGCCATCACTTACTCTCTACTCTTCACGGATAGCTTCTGTTTTTTTTCTTTGTCTTGCACCTTCAGCGAAGTAGTCAAAGACTGACTTTCCGCAAGCTACTTCCAAGCTGTACCACCCGCCAATTGTCTCATTATCACAACGTTGCTGAGATATTTGCAAAACTCTGGACCGCAGGTGTCTATGGTGGGGAACGAACGCTCTATTATCTTTTCCGGGGAGTAACGCGTTCACCACCACACCATGCGGGCGCGTTCGTTCCCCACCATAGACACCTGCGGTCCAGAGTTTTGCAAATATCTCAGCAACGTTGTGGTTGTACTTCGCTTAGTAACCTGCCATGAAAATTATAGAAGGCAGAAAACAAAACGTTAAACATTGTCTCATTATCATCACATGAAATGATAGTAGCCGGAAGACTGCGATAGAACAGAGAAAGAATGCAGAAGCAATAAACGCAGAAGAACAAAAACGGGTGCTTTAAAAATGAGGTAAAAGAATAATGAGTATATATATGGATCTTGGTACTGTAGAGAATGTATGGCAACAAAAGGCTTAAAAAGTGGCGAACCCTTGTATCATGCCTTTCTCTCTCTTCCGCTTATCATCGCCGTTTAAGTGTTAATTTTCCCATTCGCTTCCTTCAAATTGTTCGACAATGCTTTCAAGAATTTCACCGCCGTCTTTAAAATTTTGTTTTTCGTTAGTGCTAGGAAATCCATTAAATTTATGTGATATCGGTCCCACGCCAATGTGCTTGAAAGCTATAATAACCCGATTTTTGATCATTAATTGATAATTCATTGCCTTACCACCACTAATATGACCCATGTCAGCATGGAGTCGCCGAATATAGAAAAGGGTAAAGCTCTCGGCATTGATCAATCCTTGAGGGATGCGCCACGCATCCTACTTCACTGAGCATCGTTGGAGGTGACTGAATGCATATTTGACCCTTACAATGACTCATGGTGGCCTACCGATGTATCAAAGCGGTGCTGCGATCCTCCTAGACAAGTCTGGTACCAATTTGCCGACCCGGAGAGATGGAAGACTTGGTAGGCCATGGCCGCGGAGGTCGGTTCCACGCGTGTGCTGCAGAGCCCCGCCGACTACTGAGCCACACGCGCCCTCCTCTGAATATAAAAACAAAAAAATATGCATAAATATCATACAAACCCATGCCAAGAGCTGATAGAACGTTAGTAATGCGATGAATGCGCTTTTTTTCATCATAAACAAGGGTTAGATCTGGTCGGAAAACATGGAAACATGTATAGAGGCAGATACACAGGACTTTAAAGGGCCGGAAACATTTGAAGAAACCGAGTAATAGAACGAAATTCAGAAGAAGTCGGTGGGCGGTGTGTTTTCGGTTGGTTTCGCGAATCATACGTATTGATTTCGATGTGCATTGCAATCGCGCTACAATTAAATGTGGTTCGGTGCGTCTGCCATGCGAAATTAACCGTGGTGTCAAAAGGGTTAGAAAACAAATCTAAAATATACATAGATAATTAGTTACAGAGATCCGTCCTAACTTTTCAAAAGGCTATTAGCGCACGGAAAAACAAGAATTTTCGTTGTTTCAAAATCTCAATGCCACAGAGGTATACTGTGTCATCTGTAATTAAGAATTTTAAGCCATTATTCTGTACAAGATATCGTGTTTTATTTCCTCGTTTGTTAGAATTATTGGCAACACTTTTCAGATCAAGTAAGGAAGCAGGGTCATAATGCACAACAGCCCGAATACCCAGAGGATGTGTCGATCGCGTTGAGAAACGAGGACGAGCTCTACGACCTCTTCGGGGGTTTGCGAAAATTTGACTCTTTGTTGAGACAACCATTAGGGCCACTATCTTCTAAATACAGTTACTTTGAATTAAAATCACGACAAAAGTAAACAAGCATATATGTCTAAAGCAGAAATTTAAATTTCCTACATTGATTTTCTATGCTGGAGCGTGTATTGGAGTAGCGCAATGGTTAGCTAGCTGTGCCACTAATCAGGAAGCAAAGGTTCCGGTCCGACTTTTTAACCAGCGCTAACCTCTAATCCACGTGAGGACGCTTTCGCACGGGTATTAGCAAGATTGTAGAGAGAATATACCCTATCAGCGCCTCACGAGGTTCATAAGGAAGACGAAATCTTCAAGTAGCAGCCGAAACAATGCGCGAAATGCTCGAAGTCTTCGTGGACGATGAGTGCGAAGAACAGGAATCGAATGCAAGAATTGCTGGGATCCGCACAGTAGATACTATGACGGGTCCTGTAAAGAAATATACTCTAATAAATGATAGTAGATCGGAATATAATTAAAGTTGTAGTTCTCTAAATTTTCGATTTTAGAACGTAAAGAAGAAGAAGCTGTGAAGGTAGAAATTCGAAAGGCAGTAAATCTTGCAGTGAAAGGTATAAAGAAACGTAGTGAAATCATTGTGAGAATGTCACCATCGGTAAATTTCTTCTTAAATGACTATGAATAATTAGAAAAGTTCTTTCTCGAGTACAGGTGAAAACCAATTAGAAGTAGCTTGATGTAACAGTTTTAGAAAGGCGAATGTGTACCGAGTAGTGGTGTGTGCGCCAAATCTAGCATGTTTTCACACAATATTTGTGAAAAATATGTGACACATAAATCCCACCGTGCCTTTCTATGTCAGTTTGGACCACGGTAGTTGGAGTGGTAGGAAATGGCATAAGGTACTTGCCATCTAACATCACTTGTTTGTTGTTTTTCAACCGTTTGAGGAATCAAGAAACTCGCTTTGTTTGTAAATAACAAAAGTGAAAGCAAAAGTGCGTTGAAGTGTGTATACGCGATTTAGTGTTGTCTTCAGAAAACACAACCTCGATGTCTAGTCTGCTAAAATAGACAGTTTGATGACTAATTTTCACTTTTCATTCGCATTCATAGTAGTTCTTTCACCCGTTTCTTTCCCTTGAAGTCGTCATCATTGATGACATGGTTACCATCTGATGTTCATTTGGTTACAAAGAATCTTTATTATTTTCTCTCTTTACTGACATTCTTGGTTTTGGTCAGACATAATTTCTGCTAGAAAATCGAAATATCTGTGCTAGGGATTTCTCACATAACCACAAAAGAGAAGTCACATTCATTGCGCAATGGGGAGAAGCTTGTTGCTCAGCGTTATGGGTTCTTCCAGAGTGAGAGGTGTCGACCAATCGCTCGAAGACGATGTAAAGAGCTGAATTCCACAACTTGTTGAATGATGAAGAATGTCGTTTCTTTCTATATCCACAACATTTCTTGCGAATTCTAATGTATTCGCTTCAAGTTGAAACTAAAGGGTTATGTACGATTTCGATTTCAGAAAAGTCTATTGAAAACGACAAAAAGTTGTCAGCATTGCCATAGGATGAGACTGAAGACGTTACCTACGCCAGTGAGCAGCAAAGTAATAAAAATGCCTGAATCTTCTGAAACCAAGATCGACTCCCATTAACTACGAAATTATAATCTTAACTCATTTATTTACTGCCTTTTTCCTTCTTAATGGCAGGGTATGTTGTGAAATATAACTCGTATGAAGTGGTGAGATTTCTGCAAAACTCCGGACCATAGGTGTATGCAATGGAGAACGAACACGCGCTGTTGTCCTTACCGGGGAGCAGCGCACTTCACCACTACACCATCCGAGTCCTTCGCTTTGCATGTCTCCCCTGTGGTCCGGAGTTTTGCAAATATCTCAGCATTTCATACGAAGTTATAGTTTTCTAAGCAGAACTACTTATTTTTACATGAGAACGCTTATCAAGAGCATGAGCTCAACTTGCTATTTTAGAGAGAAGAACTCATTGCACACTTTGAAGTGAGCTTTTGGCAGCTTTCATTCACACTGTTGGATCGTTTACATTTGCTTGAAAAAAAAACTTTTGTTGCTTTCAATGTGACTAAAGAGATAGCCATGAAATTTCAGCCGACGCAAAATTCAGAGTATGTCCTTAAACGACATATCAAATCTTTTGAGGTAGGTGCGAGCATTAAATTTATAGCATAATTAACCAGGAATATGAAAAATTGTATCTAAAATGCCGTGTTAACTATGCAACTATGGGAAAAGACTAGCTATACGAGCTTCGACATTCTGAAAGATCTGATAGAATTCAAAAGAGTTTCTGACGTTTATATGTTCATTAAAATATTTCAAAGTGGAATGACTTGTGATTTGGCTAGCATGACTGTCTCTTGAGTCAAGGATGGATGACTACTCAACCACCACGACTACACTGTAAGTTCACTAGCACCATCTGAGGCTGGACTAGGAGCAAACCGATACCAGGATCCACCATCGTCTTAGTATAAAACTAGTCGCATGTTGGTAAATCTCTCTTTGATCCACAGGGATTGCGACTGCCTGTGGTGTTGACGACCTGGGGCAGACTTTGGCCTGGCTGACCTCGGGATTGCAGACAATCACAATAGCTAAGCTAGCAGAACTCAGAAAAAAAGGGAGACTACGCTGGAACCCATATAATCAGTGAGGACGGGCCATCCAAGTATCCAAGTAAGCTTACTCGACGAGTTCGTGTATTTTCTTGGTTTCTCGGTTAGTACTAAGAAAAAGATTAACGTATCTAAAACACATCAAGGGCGCGGGTAGCTCAGTAGTCGGAGGCGCGCTGCAGAACACGTGGAATCGATCTCCGCGCCCATGGCCCACCAAGCCTTCCATCCCTCCTGGGTCGGCAAATTGTTAGAAGATTTGTCTAGGAGGATAGCAGATACATAGGTAGGCCACCACGTAAAGGTCAAATATGCATTCAGTCACCTCTAAGACGTTTGATGAAGTCGGATGCATGGCGCATCCCTCAGAGATTGAGCAACTTCGAGAGCTTTATCCTTTAATCCTTTAAATCATTTCATGCAGTTCAAACAAACACTATCTAAAAGAATTTGGGTAATTTTTAGTATCCAAAGATCGATTCATTGCAGAAGTTGCTTCCCGAGAAGACATGTGAAGACGGCGAAGAGAAATGAAGAAATTCTCGTTGAGATACAACTCGATTCAAAGCTGCCATCTGTAAACGAATCAACTTACAATTAAACGATAAACATGGCTATTCTCTGAATATGAGCAAAATAACTGCAACAACTACAGTTCTAAGCTGTTAACATACACTGCCAGAAACTGGTCTTTAGACAAATGTCGATGATTTCTCAATTCGATGTTTTTCTGCTTATTGAAGAAAAACATCGAATTATCAATCAATGCTGAGGTTAACAGAAACTCGGTCATGGGATTTCTCGATTTTTAGAGAAGTTGAGGTGCTCAGAATATCATAGATTCATGGAAGAAGCTTTGTTTCATCGCTTCACCTGTATAGAAAAATTTTTTAAAATACTCTTTCCACTCTAAATCTTTTTAGATACAAGATTTTCGAAAAACTAGGAAACCAACGATGCATTCCGTAATGCTTTCCACTCTGTTCAATGGACTTCAGTCCTCAATTTCTTTCGTGCCCGAAATGCAAGCTTTGACTCAAAAAATGATAAAAAAAAACGTATGCTTTGTCTTGATACAGCAAAATTATTTGCATCTTGTAGATATAGGACCAAGGTTTTAATAGTTTTTGACTCTAAATAATATGACTTCAATGATGCTGAGATACTTGCAATGCTCCGGACCGGAAAGGGTAATGGTGAGTTCGTTTCCCACCGCAGACACATGTGGTCCTGAGTTTTGCAAATACCTCAGCGTAATTGAAGTTATATTTCGCAACATACCATGCCATTAAAAAAAGCAGGCAGTAAATAAAAGTTACCATTGTGATTTTGACTACTTCCTTGGTACTTGAATGGCCCATCCTCACTAGTTGAGCGGACCCTAGCATTATCACCACCTCTCGGAGAACTGCTGGTTAAGCCATTGTGGTCCTCTGGAATCCTTAAGGCAGCCTGGCCAAGGTCTGCCCCAGGTAGTCATCACAACAGGAAGTCGCCGTCCTTGTGGATCAGAGGGAGATTTGCCACCATGCGACTTTGATACCAGGACCGTGGTGGATCCTGGTATTTGTTCACTCTTAGCTAGGCTTCCTGATGGAAACGCTGGACTCCTACTCAGCTTGGGAGACTGCCACGAGGACAAATCCCTACGCTGCGCATCGCAGTCTGGCACCCAGGAACACCTACAGCCACAATGAGACGGTAAACCGTTGGGAGCATTTTGACTACGGTGTCAGCATAATTGGGTTTATTGCCGGCTTGCGCTCCCCAAATCAATCCTGCTCACGGGTGATTGCTGATGGCACAGATCGATGGAACTAGCTGAGAGACAGGCGAAATGATAGACTCGCATGGTGTGATGGTGAACGTGTTAGCCCGCGGAAAAGGCAATGGCGCGTTCGTTTCCCACGGCAGGCACCTCCCGTTGGCAGTTTTGCAAATATCTCAGCATCGTTTTCTTTGTCAGCAATAGCGAGGTTGTTAAACAGCATACGTTTACTTCTATACAATAACACACATACAATACAACCGTAGCTGACGTTTCGGCAGAATCGCCTTCTTTAGAGCCTGGAAGGGTACACTAACATGCAACTTACTAGGTCAAAGACTTCAGCAGCACATATGGAAAGATGAAACTCCGAACGGTCATTACAACATCAACGGATTCTCGAAAAGGACACTTTTTTTTTCACCTTTCTTCCACCGTAGAAGAACAGCTGCTCAGGGTGGTATATTGTTGACGACTGCACCACCACATTTCATCGATCGATACAAAGGTACGGGGTGAGACCACTTATGATCTCGGGGCATTCTTCCTTGCTACTCATTGTAGGATTTTTGGCATTTATCCAAAAAGCCTCGAGGAGTTTGCGGGTTGGTGTTTTAGGATCTCGTGCGAGGATAGCGACTTTTACATCAAAATCGTCTCCGCTATGTTTTTGTATACTATGCGTGCCTAGTGGCGTGCCTTGTTTGACTTTCGTTTGCCATCTAAGTGTTCTTTTATACGGATACATAAAAGTCTGCTCGTTTCCCCCAATATATTCGTATCTGCAAATACCACGAGAGATTAGGTATATCGTACCTGAACTCATGCAGTCACCCTCCATGCCATAAGGGCACATTACGCAATTTGTTGTTTCACATGGAGGGTCGTATTGCCGGTAACGAACTAATTGACAACGAAGAGTATTCGGTGGGATTTCAATTATCGCTACCGATTCCTTCGGTGGGATTTCAATTATCGCTACCGATTCCGTCGGTGGAATTTCAATTATCGCTACCGATTCCTCTAGATCTGTCCTTCTTAAGCATTGCTTTATCGCTATACTTCGCTAATGAAGACTAAGATGAACGGAGTTTTGTTTCGGCCAAACCGTTCGTTTTGGGGCGTCGCACTACTTCGAAACTTATCTCATGGAGTCACTTGCTTTCCTTCGAAACTCATCTCATGGGGTCAGGGATCACTTTCGAAGCCACTGGAGATGGCTATTTGCCGAGCCAAGTCGTGCGATT